ACTTACTGTTGCAAATGTTTTGCTCATGAAATGGCATTTTTGTGATATAGGATAATAAGAACTCTTTGGCTCATTTGTCCACATGTTGTGGAAGTCCCGCTTACGCGGCGCCGGAACTACTTCAAGGACCCCACTATTCGGGACCGGCTGTCGATGTCTGGAGCGCTGGTGTCCTCTTGTTTGCGCTTTTGGTCGGAAGGCTTCCCTTCGATGACGAGAATATCGGCGCTCTTTATAAGAAAATACAGGTATTGTTTAGGCATTACTTTCTATGAGTTATTATTCAACTATTATTCGCTACAAAAGAGTGGATTTTATCGAATGCCTGATTGGCTGTCATCCGACGCTAAAGATCTGATCCGATCGATGCTTAAGACAAATCCAATGGAACGCATCACTATTGAGAAGATATTAATCCACCCGTGGCTGAGAGATGTGATGATTGACAACAAGACAACCGTTCAGGTGATGAAATCAAATCTGGACGAAGAAGTCTTCTTCAAATGCCACCGACTCTTCCCTGACGTTCCTCTCAAAGAGTTGCGACAAAACATTTTGCATGGATTTGGTTATCAAACGTCCTGTTATTGGCTCTTGAAAATGAACGCCAATTCTGTTGAGGTATTGATCGCCAAAATGCCATTATATTTAACTTAATAACACTTTTTTGTTTCTAATTCAAAGCCATTGCCAATGTTTGCCATTAAATCGCCGCTCAATAAGACATCTGTTCAAAGACGGCGTTCAAAGAGTTTGGACGAACCCATCAATAATGAAAATAGTATTAATTTTTAGTTTATATGATATGAAAGTTGTGTCTAATTTCTAATTGCGATGACATTTGCAGACATTCGGCCGCAACTTAAGCGCAAATTCCCGGACACTCCGATGCCTAACGTTCCGAAACGGCTTCTGTTTGAGCCCAACTCTCCGAAGACCAAAACCCCGGTTGCCGTCAGTTCACCAAAAGTGACGCCAAACCCAAAGGAGAACCGAAAACTAAAGGAAATCAAATCACCGGTTATTAACTCTCCGGTCATTCCTATCAAAAAGGCTCGACTTTTCAGTGGTTTGAATGATAGCGTCGTCAATAAGAGTCCGCTTCCGGTTCTCAACGCAACCATCGATTTGCCTAAAACTCCATTCAATGCGCGCATTGAGTGCACGCCTAAGAAGTCACTATTGAAGCGATTCCTGGAGACGGCGACACCGGCCATCTCAAACCGACTGATGAGTTGTCCGTATTTTATCTTTTGTCCGCTTTTAATGTCAAACTCGATATTCTTCGGCGCTTCGAATACGAGGACAATAGTTGAGCCCAAATTGAATTCGCCGAACGGATCGCCTTTTCCTAGACTTATGTTTTTCTTCAGTTTGAGATCATTGAAGTCGCGGCCAATTCTCCACTTCGTCCTATTCGTCGCCAATGCCTTCAATTGCAAACACGGATTACACAAATGGATACATAATTATGATTAAGAGTTAATTACTTCATCGAAATAGACTTTAACGGATCCAACATTAGTGGCGCCGACAGCTGTCATCGAGAAGAAGCCGTACTTCCATTGCCCGATATAACTGACCCTTTCGTTGACATTGAAGAGGTTGGGAAACCAGGAGACGAACGTCGGCCGAACGCTCAACAACTTTCCGGGAAAGTGTCGCCGGAAACTGATTTTCCACTCAACGGGTGAGTGAAAGCGATGGTAATCTCCCGGCGCTAAGTATATAACGCAGTGATACAGATCTGATGACTGCTTTCCAGTGCTGTTTATTAGAAGAGATTTCTCATAATTGTCATTACGGGCGCCGTTTGAGCGCCAGGTCTGCGGCCCTAAGAATGATGATAACGAGTATGTGATTCCCTTCACCTGTTCAACAGTGCCTTCATTTGCTTTTCCGAAGTATAAAATNTGCGGCCCTAAGAATGATGATAACGAGTATGTGATTCCCTTCACCTGTTCAACAGTGCCTTCATTTGCTTTTCCGAAGTATAAAATGGTTCCGTCGGCGGGACTCACCTATAAAGTCATGTTTTAATAACAATATAACATACTTTCGACACTATCTTTGATTATGCAATCAGTTTTAGTGGCACTAATGTTAAGCCCATTAATACTTAATAAGAAACCAAATCTAGATTAGATTTAGTACATGAAGAAGTTTGGGTTAAAATAATTAATTGTTATCCAAAAGCAATCCAATGACAGATTAGGGGTAAAAATAAATTGCATTCAATTTATTTATAAGTTATAACTTGTTATAACTTGTATTGTTAGTCTGAAAGTCATGCCACTTTGCGATAAGGTATTCACACTTATGGTTTGTTTCACACACACAACTAGTGGTATATTATTATTGGTATTAATGCTAACCTTTGGTTCATTTCGTAACAATTTGTCTAAATTTCACAGAATAATAATAATTAGGACTTTAAGTAGAGGTTTGAAAACAAATCCGGATATCGTTTTTTAGCGATAATAAAGTGCAAGCAATCGACTGATAAATACAAGCTTTGAATTTGATAAACAGATCGTACGATTCATTCAACAACTATTGAACGGCTTTATGTTTTTTTTTGAGACTTTTTTGGAGTTTAAACCAAAATAAATATTAGAGAAGAAGACGAACGATAAGCTTAAAACTCACGATTCCATTGGTTGTGTCAATAGGTCTGACGCCTGGTTTGAGGGAACGTCTGAAGAATTCGCCCAAATTCTTGTATTGTCTCAAGTCGTCGACATCTGCTTCGTCTAAATTGCAACCAAACGCTCGAACATATGATCTCAAGATAGGACTTCTCATTATAAGCGGCAGTTCTATTGAGTTAATCCAACCCCAGATCCGGGACACTGTCCTCAGGGGAAGCAGTTTATACATCGAGATCTGTTTGGCAATCAAAGCATATGTCAGATATAATCGAAACACTGCATACGAAACACTACTCTACCTCGAGGTCAGATGCCGTGTAAATGGGTTTAGCGAGGATTTGGTTAGGATTTTGTTCATATCTTTTCTGTTCTTCGCGTCTCTTAATTCTGCGGAACTGTTGGAAAGCAATGAATGTGAAGACCAGTGATATCGGGACGTGAAACCATTGAAATTTGGCCACAAATCTCTTCATCCGATTGTATTGCAATCGTTTCCACGTGTGATTCGTGTGAGTGGTGGTCGACGACATCCGCAACGGACCTGTTGTCCACCCAAACAGACACACATTAAAGGCATTTAAATATCAATTGAAAAAACATATAAAACACTTACGATAGACGACACGAAACATCGATATAAGTCTAACCATAGTTTACGGGCTTTAAGACAATCGCCACCGAAGAAAAGACTTGAAAACTTTTGGTTTCAGTGTATTTGTGACAACAATTTATCGCTAAAATACGATAACAAGAGTTGTTATGTAATGAATGGAGAATATGATTGGATGTAATGAATGGTTCACTCAAATGGGATTCAATGTCTTCGCCTATCAGTTACCAAATCATCACTTTTTTCGGTTATCAATCAAATGGGAGTCAAACTTGACTTTTGATACTTTGGTTTCGCTAATCAAACATTTGGACAATTAATGCACTCATGAGTGAAAAAATCGACACAAAGTTTGCGATCAAATGATGCGATAAAACACTTCCCAAGAAGTGATCGTTGAATGAGTTTTTGTGTGTCTTTTGTTGCGTTTATTTGTGTTTATTTTTAAACTTATTTTGCAATCATTTGTCTCACGATTACGTCATTTCAATGCAATCACAAATACGTCCAAACATTACAATCATTGCATTGTTTATCACTTTTATTCACATTTGTTTCGCAAATCCATTAATTAATGCTTTAATTAACTTTCGTTTGTTGTAATAATTATCAAATAAAACTAAATATAAATTTAATTATAATTTAAACTATATTTAAAAACCCAATCATTTGATAGCAAAATGCCGTCATTTATGTTCAAACATAACAAACATATGATTCAAAAGCCAATGCTTTTCAGTGAAAAAACTCGTGTTTTTGTTTTGAAGTCAAAAGTATTATTAATTTGACTCAAAATCAATTGATTTATTGAATAAATATTTGAGTGAAACATATCTGAGAAGAGATGAGCAAAAAGAGGCCATTAATTGATGAGACGGATAGGGATGAGAGGTCTGGAGAGGACGATCACGAGTGTCCCGACTCTCTGACAGCAATGGCTGTACCGAAGGATCAACTCTTTAGACCCAAACTGTTTAAGAGCTCGAAGAATGACACCAAACGACTGATCGTTATATTAGAGAAATGCAATCTCGAGATCGTTAAGACTCACCACGACTTTGAGCTCATGAATTGCGATCAACACATGTCTTATATCCGCAAATTCAAGAAAGATCCGGCCTTTTGTCGCCCAGACATCACTCATCAGGTCTTACCATTCATTTCGCAAATTGTTGTTACAAATAATAATCAGTTGTTGTATTTGTTTGTCATTATATACAGTGTTTACTAATGCTGTTCGACAGTCCCCTGAATAGGGCGGGCCTTTTGCAGGTGTATATGCACACCGACCGCAATGTACTCATTGAGATCAGCCCTCAAACCAGATTTCCCCGTACTTTCAAACGCTTCGCCAATCTTATGGGTATTACTCAATAGATTTACTCATTTATTCAATACTTTTAGCGATGTTTTGCCATATTTTAGTCCAATTACTGCATAAACTGAGTATCCGTTCGGCGAACGGACCGCAAAAGTTGCTGAAAGTGATTAAAAATCCCATTTCATCGCACCTTCCGGTCGGCTGTAAGAAGATTGGCACCAGTTTTAAGGCCGACAAACTCGTCCACCCGAGAGAACTCGTGCCCACCGATGACGCGCCCATCGCTATTGTGATCGGGGCTATGGCTCACGGGGCGGTACAAACACTCTCACTCATTATAAGCATTCATTTTATATCACTAATTGTATCACTATTTTCAGGTTGAATGCGATTATATCGAGGAAAATGTGTCCGTAAGTGAATATCCGTTGTCGGCAGCGCTCGCGTCCACTAAAATATGTTCCGCTTTCGAAGAGGTCTGGAATATACACTAAAACATTCACTTTTATGTTCCCATTATTATTAGAAATAATATTATTTATACATTATTTTGAATGTCAAGTAAAGTGTATTTTATTTTATTACTTTTTGCATCAATTATTTACATAAAAGAAGTCAAATATATGCACCAATTAAATGTTTTTATGGCCAAAAAGTAGATACAAAATGCATTGCAAATAAATAATTCATCGTAAATACGATTAATTTACATTTTGTACTAAAAATATCATAAATGTATTTATAATGTATGCGATGAATGAATAATGGATTAATCGGTAAAAATATACTGCAGTTATAATATGAGTTTGGAAACATAAATAGATTAAAAGTAGACAATTGTTTGTCTTTTGTGGCCATCAGATCATTCATTGCTGATCCGCAGTATCTCTTCGCAGACCTTCTTGTAATTCCAAGCGTCGCCTTTGAGTCGTTTTCGTTGAATCACACATTGATTGTCAAACTTACAGATCTAGAATATCCGTTGTCGGCAGCGCTCGCGTCCACTAAAATATGTTCCGCTTTCGAAGAGGTCTGGAATATACACTAAAACATTCACTTTTATGTTCCCATTATTATTAGAAATAATATTATTTATACATCGATTTATACATTATTTTGAATGTCAAGTAAAGTGTGTTTTATTATTACTTTTTGCACCAATTATTTACATAAAATAAATCAAATATATGCACCAATTAAATGTATTTATGGCCAGAAAGTAGATGCAAAATGCATTGCAAATAAATAATTCATCGTAAATACGATTACATTTTGTACTAAAAATATATAATGTATGCGATAAATGAATAATGGATTAATCGGTAAAAATATACTGCAGTTATAATACGGTATCAGTTTTTAAACATATTTGTCAATAAATAGACAATTGTTAGGCTTTTGTGGCCATCAGATCATTCATTGCTGATCCGCAGTATCTCTTCGCAGACCTTCTTGTAATTCCAAGCGTCGCCTTTGAGTCGTTTTCGTTGAATCACACATTGATTGTCAAACTTACAGATCTCCAGATTAAACGACAACACAATCACATTATTAGTCGATAAAACACATCTCAAAGAGAACTCTTTTTGTTTGCATTGAATGCCTTTCGCAGTCAGTGTTTCGACCAGTTTTTCGATGCATTTCTCGGGTTCAGTGAATTTAGTGAGTGTTATGTTCTTCAGAGTAGTGGATGTAGTGATAGCTCTGGGACTCTGACTTCGGGCCGGTGTCGCCGTCTCCAGGAATCGCTTCAATAGTGACTTCTTAGGCGTGCACTCAATGCGCGCATTGAATGGAGTTTTAGGCAAATCGATGGTTGCGTTGAGAACCGGAAGCGGACTCTTATTGGCGACGCTATCATTCAAACCACTGAAAAGTCGAGCCTTTTTGATAGGAATGACCGGAGAGTTAATAACCGGTGATTTGATTTCTTTGAGTTTTCGGTTCTCCTTTGGGTTTGGCGTCACTTTTGGTGAACTGACGGCAACTGGCGTTTTGGTCTTCGGAGAGTTGGGCTCAAACAGAAGCCGTTTCGGAACGTTAGGCATCGGAGTGTCCGGGAATTTGCGCTTAAGTTGCGGCCGAATGTCTGCAAATGTGATCGCAATTAGAAATTAGACACAACTTTCATATCACATAATCTAAAAATTAATACTATTTTCATTATTGATGGGTTCGTCCAAACTCTTCGAACGCCGTCTTTGAACAGATGTCTTATTGAGCGGCGATTTAATGGCAAACATTGGTAATGGCTTTGAATTAGAAACAAAAAAGTGTTATTAAGCAAAATATTATGGCATTTTAGCGATCAATACCTCAACAGAATTGGCGTTCATTTTCAAGAGCCAATAACAAGACGTTTGATAACCAAATCCATGCAAAATATTTTGTCGCAACTCTTTGAGGGGAACGTCAGGGAAGAGTCGATGGCATTTGAAGAAGACTTCTTCGTCCAGATTTGATTTCATCACCTGAACGGTCGTCTTGTTGTCAATCATCACATCTCTCAGCCACGGATGGATTAATATCTTCTCAATAGTGATGCGTTCCATTGGATTTGTCTTAAGCATCGATCGGATCAGATCTTTAGCGTCGGATGACAGCCAATCAGGCATTCGATAAAATCCACTCTTTTGTAGCGAACAATAGTTGAATAATAACTCATAGAAAGTAATGTCTAAACAATACCTGTATTTTCTTATAAAGAGCGCCGATATTCTCGTCATCGAAGGGAAGCCTTCCGACCAAAAGCGCAAACAAGAGAACTCCAGCGCTCCAGACATCGACAGCCGGTCCCGAATAGTGGGGCCCTTGAAGTAGTTCCGGCGCCGCGTAAGCGGGACTTCCACAACATGTGGACAAATGAGCCAAAGAGTTCTTATTATCCTATATCACAAAAATGCCATTTCATGAGCAAAACATTTGCAACAGTAAGTCGTGGTCTAAAGTACCCGTCCATTGGCCGCAAGTCCGAAATCAATTAATTTGATTCTGTGTTTGGCGTCAAACAGAATATTTTCGGGTTTGAGGTCTCTGTGAGCGAAACCATTGCTATGAATGTACGCCAAAGCGTTCACCAAATCTTTCATAATAGTCTTCGTCTCCCTTTCGGTGAGTTTCGACTTCGACACCAAATAATCAAACAGTTCTCCTCCGCAGCAGTACTGCAATGGATGGACAATACAAACCAATACATGACATATAAGACAATCGGTGGTCAGACAGTACTATACCTCGAGAATAAGATAAATCTCGTTCTGGGTTTCGATCACTTGTAATAGTTTTGAGATGTTTTCGTGTTTCAATATCTTCAGCGAATTGATCTCAACTCTCACTCGACACAAGTCGGCCTTTGAAGAGACAAATAAGACAATTGAAGAGTAAATCCAATAGTAGATCCAAAGGGTTGGACAACACTTACGCCTAACTTGTTTTTGTCCATTATTTTTATGGCCACTTTATGGCCGGTCTTGAGATGCGTGGCTAACCTTACTTTCCCGAAACCACCTGTTGTTGACACACATGGAGTGATGCATTAGTATTGAGACAATCAATGGTTAAGACAATGGATGCAAACCCTCTCCCAATTTGTTTCGATGCAAATAATAGCCCAAATCGACGCAATTGTCTTCAGTGAGCGTGGGATCAGGTCTGGAGTGGCGTTCGGCCGATGCGTTCCCACCAGTAGTTGCGCCAGTGATGGCGTGTCTTCGCGGCCCAACCATAGCAGACATCATACAAGTTGTGGTCAATTGGTTTCGCGGATCAAATCGGATGTCAAAAGTGTTTGCGAAGTGAGAAACGACTCAAACAAACCAAACACTCAAATGTTTTGTCGGTTTTTCAAAATTAAAATCATTTCTTCGCAACCAATGCGACCCACCATTGGCTCAGCGCTCAGCCAATCACAGCCCGCCGTCTCATTGCTGTCCATCAGTTCATCGCCTTTCAAGTGATGCCATCTTTCGGTGATTTTGTGATCAAATGAAACAAAAACTCATTATTTTGTAAATTCATTAATTATGTCTTCAATTTGTGGCCATTTTATAATTGCCATCATTTTTACAGTCATTTTCACATCAATTCGTTATTTTAAATCAAAACAATTGTTTGAAATAAATAATTATCACTTAAAACATACAAAACTCATAACTTATTGGTCACACGGATATAGCGGACACACAAATGGGTGGCTAATAATGGTTACTCAACGCTAACATACAGTACAGCCTCTCTATATATACACTCTTTATAAGAAATAATTTTGCAAACAATTTACTAATTATAATAAACTAATACTCATTTAAAAGCACAGAATATTCTGCGACAAAACAAATAAAATAAATAGCAATAAAAATCAGAGCAAATAATAGGTATGAAAATATAGTGAGGATTACATGTGTGTAAAGTAATGAAGAGTTGACTAGTATTGGGGGGTCTGTGAGGGGGCAGAGTGTGAATGAGTCGCCGGTTATGTATTATACGGACGTATATATTGTATATATTGTGAAGATCTGGAAGTTTCGTAATTGACTGCAAAAAGAGTGCAATTTATTGAAGCCTTCAGTCCTTTACTCTCAAACCAAACGATTGCTAAATATTTGGTTTAATACTAATTATTATTATTTATATTTCTTTTGTTTGATTCAATCCATTGATTGTCATTTCAAACGCCACTCAATCCATTGAAATACACGCCGATTATCACCGCAAACAATGGCCGCCACACGAAGACTACAAAAGGTTAGTGCGAAACACATTTAGTGCCCACTCATGAGTGAGTAATCAATTGTTTTGTCTACCATTTCGTATATGTCTTGTCGTTTGCATTGCGTTCACAACACTTACCATCACTCGTGTCCTCACCTCTTGGTGTTCATCACAATCAGGAACTGCAAGACATCCGCAAAGCGGGTCTCCGATCCTTTCGAGACATTCAAGTGGACGAACAGAATATGTTGACATGGATTGGACTCATTGTTCCGGTCAGTGGCCGCCCGATGAGCACCCAATTGTGGTGATTGTGGGCTAATTGTACTCATACTGTGTGTGTATTGTCTCCCATAGGATAGCGTGCCCTATAATAAGGGCGCGTTTAGGATTGAGATCAACTTTCCCGCTGAGTATCCGTTCAAACCGCCGAAGATTACGTTCCGGACGAAGATATACCACCCGAACATCGACGAGAAGGGACAGGTCTGCCTTCCCATCATTCAGGCCGAGAACTGGAAGCCCGCCACCAAGACTGACCAGGGTTTGTGTGCCTAACCATTGCCTCTAATGAGTCCATCTAATGCCATGCCTTTGTGTTTGCTATAGTAATCCAAGCACTGGTAGCTCTAGTCAACGATCCCGAACCGGAACACCCGTTAAGAACAGATTTAGCCGAAGAATATTCAAAGGATAGGAAAAAGTTTGTAAAAAATGCCGAAGACTTCACCAAAAAGTTTTCAGAGAAGCGGCCCTCGGATTAAATAATTCACTCGTTTTAATACAACACTTATTATTACAACAAATTTAAGTAACAAAATATTTGCTATTATTTTATGTTTTAATCCGAAAACACTGTAATTATTGAGTATTTATGATGAAAACATTGTATTATCAATCACTTAATAGTGCAGTCCTTAACATAAACAGCAAAATACGAAACAAAAAACAGACAATTATTTGTATTTAAGTTTAGTATTCATTACAAATAATTGATTCATAAAGAGAAGCAACAGATTTATACCGCATTAATAACTACTAAAATACAATTAAATTTTCCGTAAACTATTAAAAACCCTTTTTCTAAACATAAGAAATAATAAAATTAATTTTATATATCGAGAGATCGGCGCAGAAATGCAAAACAATTTAGTGATCATAATATATGAAAATTATTTCTTTATTAACATTTACTTTTACCCATCATTTTTTTCAAAACTCTTGTTATCAAATGTATTACTCATTCAAATGATAAATAAACTCTAAATTCATTTTCTTTTACAAAAAGTACTCATTTAGTGTTTAATTCATTTTATTTTAATTATGTGTTAAACCGTACATAACGTGTTGACTACATAGATAATTATCATTGAAATGGTAGTGAAATTGTATTGATATGTGAAGACTTTGATGTGATATTTGTTTAATGAGAATCACATTACAAAATGATTATATTTCTAAACATATTAGGCATACGTAGGCGTAAAGTATATGTTATTTAAAATACGGACTGATTTAAGCGCAAATATTTATTATATACAATAATTGGAAACAACATTGAGATACAGTTGTTTCAAATGTGTATAAATGATAAGCAGAATAATTAGCAAGTTATTTGTTAAATACAGTATATTGTGAGTAGGAATGCATGCAATCTGTGAACGCATTCAACACTTATCTCTCCAACCATTGAATAAAGCAAATTGTGGACTACTTTTTAGATAAATATGTTTTTACACTATATTTACGTTTTGTATAATTCATACGATTATAATTGATATAAAATGAGATTTTAATTAATTATTCGTCAATAAAATTCTATAGAAGTTCTGTTTTGAAGGTTATTATACCGAATATACGTATAAATTATGATTATAATGTATATCATAATTGAGTACAAATTACTAAAACTTAATGTCATATCATTGGAGATACGGAATATTTTATTAAAAATAGCGTAAATATAGTTGTAATTATTTATAACATTTATATATTAGTTATAATTTTAAAGTTAATGAAACTTAACTATAAATAGTGAATATCAAAGAACTTTATGCTAAAAAATACATTATAAAATTCACATAAATAACAAACAAATGAAAGCATAAGATGTGATCATCGGTGCAATAATCCGAAGACATCCTCGTGATAGCGGCCATCATTGATGACTTGAGTCAACAATTCTTGAGCTTCGGTTTCGTTCATTTTGCCCGCGTTTTCAAACACTTTGCCGAACGACTTCTTCACGCCGTCAGCCATTAATGAATGGCCGCAGACATAGATGTGTGCCTTTTCGTTGACAATCAACCAATAGAGCAGTGATCTCTGTTTGAACACTTGATCTTGCACATATTGCTATACATATACAACATTTTTTGTTAAATAAATCATATTTTACAAATTAATGACAATCAATACCTTTTTGTGACCCTTTTCTTGAGAGTAGGCGTAGAAGAGTTCGTGAAGAACCCCTTTCCTGGCCATATCTGCCAGATCTGTGCCGTATATACTGTCTGTTTGTGAGTTACGACAGCCGAAGAACAGAAACATTTTTCCGCTCTCCTCTCCATTCTGTAGGTCTGCCTGTCTTTGAAGCCAAAAGCCTCTGAAGGGAGCGATACCACTGCCGGCGCCGATCATAATAATCGGCACTTTCTTATTGTCGGGTAATCTGAACGCCGGAGCGCTTCTCAAATAGCAGGGAATGTCGACATTTGGGAAACTATTAATAAAACTGCTGCAAATGCCAAACCGTTTTGGTCCCATTCCGTCTGTCAATAGATTCAATAGATTTTGCTATTATAATCATTTCTATTCAAATGCTTAAGTGTTTCTCTAAATAAACATACCGTGAATATGATAGGAGACTAAATCCATTGTGAGCTGCACTTCATCCGGAGTGACCTTTTGGGAACTGCTTATTGAGTAATATCGGGGCTGAAGTAATGGTAATTCAGACAACAGGAACTCCGGGTCGACGTGTACTGAATGAAACTCATTGAGTACATCAGCCATATTAGGGCTGTTATACAGTATCCACTTCTCGTAGTCGTCGATATCCTATAAATTATTGA